CTACTGGTATTTACTTTATTTATCCAGTAATTTGTAATATCAGATAAATACTCGATTGGTATGATAACTGCCAAAAAAATGAGACGGTGGTTAATATAAACTGTTTTCTTCACAGATTGTGATGCCAACCTTCCACAAATTCAATTTCTCAAAAAAAAGAGGCGGAAGAAACCAAGTGACATTCAAAACCCTAAGTCGAAGAAAAACTAACAACGTCATGGCAAACATACAAAAAAAGACGAAAAGACGACCAAGTTATCCAAACACTACAAAGAAAACTAAAGGTTGAGCAACATGAATCCCACCAAAAAACGGGGGTAAACTCAGGTGCTCCGAAAGGTTAAGCAGTTCCTACTCAACATGCAAAACCCATTGTGCTGCTCATACAAGCACGAATCTGGTGAAAAAAGTCTCATTCGGTGGCAGTCGAGGAAAAGAGGACGGTAAAGACATTCAATAACCTTTAACCAAATCGTGATTGTATCCGTAAAACTTTCGAATAGATGAATTCAACTTCAACGCTTGGAACCCTTGGTTCAATAGCTTTGTGGTGAGCAGTAGCCCTCTATCAAGAACACCGTTGTTGAAAAGGCAAGCTCTGGAATATCGTATCAACTTGGAGATGTATAAATCCTATACGCAAGCGCTTGGAAAGTTTGCAATTTTAAAGCTATATAATCATTTTTTTTTGTCGAAAAGTTTAGTTTTCAACCGATCATCATTGTCAATTTCTAGATATAAGTTAAGATATAAGGCATACTTAAATATTTGTTAAATGCATCTCTGGTATCCCTTATTTCAAGTCATGAAACCACCGTATGTCCGAGCATTTTTAGACAAAGGGCTTTCAAAATTTCAAGGCAGTTACTGTATTCTCAATATTATATTCATAAATTGTAATCCGCGATTGCTCTCACGTCTGACGATCTAAAAAGACTGGGGGGGGGGGGGGGGGACTGATTTGCATCAGTGCGCAGTCCAATCAACCATCATGATATTCCTTATTCATTTTTCTCCAGGAATCTGTATATTTAATTCACGCCCTTATCCCCTGTACCACATACGAAATCGTTGTTACCATCACAATGCTATTTTTGACGACATACTTTCATTTTGAACAGGACGTTACGATTTCGCATTATTTCTTCACAGCTCTTTTAAATATGGGAGGTTATTAATGCAAAAAGGCTGATTGCATGTAGAGGTAAATCTCGTTAATATATGTAGGTCACAGTGACACTGGAATCCTATGAATAAATTTACTCCCACAATTCTATGAGCAAGGAATGAAATAATTCAGTCATGTGAAAAATTGTTAAAGTGAAAGAATAAAGCAAAACACAGGGAGCTGAAAGGAATACGGGTTTTGTTTGAGCTACATGGGGTTAGTTATATATCTGTGGAGTAAAATGAACAAAATGATCGAATGGTGAATGATTTATCTACTTAAAATTGAAACTTTCCCCTTATTAACAAAAATATCAAATTTAGTTTACAAATGTTTTACAAATTAGAGTCCGGTTTTCCAAATGAGACTTCAGAAGCAAATACAGTAAGTCTGACTCAAGTCTTGCCTTACATCCACAAATTGACAATAAGGGTCGGCTGAGAACAAAACTTTACGACAAAAGAAATGATTTAAGCTTCCTAATTGTGAACTTTTGATTTCTATGTAGCAACATTCCAGCAGCACCTGCATATTGGGTATATATCTCCAAAATTGATTCGATACACCAGAACTTATATTTCCTATCATGATTTCATTGATTAACGGTTGCTGCTTACAAGGAAGCTATTGAACTAAGAGTTATAGGTTTTGACGTTGAAATCATCTCCACGAAAATGTTACGGACGAAATCACGAGTTGGCTAGCCGTTACGGAATATTTGCTTCACAAATGATGACGGATATGTTCTAATTGTTTTAACCCATACCCCTTCCTCTATTCCTCGAATGTGAACTACCGAATTATTATAAGTTTTTATTTTCATGAGCAACACGAAGGGTGCTTCATGTGGAGCAGGATCTGCTACCCTTCAAGAGCACCTGAGATCACCTCCAGTTTTTTGTGAGGTTTGTGTTCCTCATTCTTTAGTTTTCTATGTTGTGTTTTGTTTACTGTTGTTTGTCTTTTTGTCATTTTTTTGTTTTTGCCAAGGCATTGTCAGTTTGTTTTCGACCTATGAGTTTGAATATCCCTTTGGTATCTTTCGCCTCTCTTTTACACACTAAATCGTGTATCTATAGTTAATAGTTTATTGTATTCATTTTCCCCCTCAAAAATACGAAAGAGAAAGTCTAGATTGATATGCGTTATTCGACAGTATGTGCAGGCAAATGGCTGATTAAATTTATCTCGGCTATTATAGTCAAAGTGATAACCTTCTGTATTGGACTGCACAGTGAAACATCCACAGACCACAATGCTACGCTAGTTCCGACATGATTTTTCCTTGATATAAACTTGACGAACTTCTATTTATATCAAGAATCTCAGTTCTCCGAAAGGTCAAAATGACACTACAATCACCAATTCACATCCATATTAGTATTTAATTGTCTTAACAAAAAAAATGTAAACTTAATATGGAACTTTGTCTGATCCATTTCTTCAAAAGAGAGGCGAAAGAAATCAAAGGGATATTTAAACACTTAAGTCGAAAACGATCTGACAATTCCATGGGAACAAAACGAAACACAATCAAAAGACAAACAACAATATCAATATAATTTGATAGTTGTCAAATCCTACATTTTGACCTAGAGCATTACTGAAGAGACATTTATTGTCAATTTGCTCATCTGGTGCATACACATTGGTACCGTTAATGTTATTATTTCAAACGAAGAACATCTATTAGACCTATTCGTTCAACGTGGTAAAAAATCATTTGACTTCGTCTATCCCAATTTTCAATTGACGATATTCATGATATATAAACCCACATTTATAAATGATGTTTATGTAGGAATAGTTGCAGCCACCTTAGGCATAAAGGTACAGATGCAGAGTAGATTCTCCCCTGACTACAAACCAAATAAAACAGTGTTGTTATACTGTACGCATGGGACTGAGTCATCAAGTGCTTTAATTAATTTATGATTGGAAAATAGTCAAAAGTAAAATTAGTAAACAGATTTTTGTTGTCAGCTTTCAAATAACTTCATGTTCAAAAGAAAATAATATTCAATTAAATACGACATGTTTAATAGTGAGTTTTAAAGGTGTCCCCTTTTTATGAAATATGAACAATAAATCTTGGGAAAGAATTTTTGTAATTCCATGATCACACCATATATTCAGTAACGTCCTTTTTAAGTTCTACCATGTCATTTTATTTTTAGTTTTGTGCTATTGCATATTAATTTGCTTACTTGTCTTCCAAATTTTTTGACTGTGTGTGTGTCCTATGATGATTATTATAAACCAATATATTTTTTTTATTCACAAATAAATATACATCAATACATAAAACATTAAGAGTAGAAGTGTATAAAAAGAGGAAGTCATATCAGCTGTTCCGAAATCGAAAGTATGCACTGTCTAACACCTACTGGTGTTTACTTTATTTATCCAGTAATTTGTAATATCAGATAAATACTCGATTGGTATGATAACTGGCAAAAAAATGAGACGGTGGTTAATATAAACTGTTTTCTTCACAGATTGTGATGCCAACCTTCCACAAATTCAATTTCTCAAAAAAAAGAGGCGGAAGAAACCAAGTGACATTCAAAACCCTAAGTCAAAGAAAAACTAACAACGTCATGGCAAACATACAAAAAAAGACGAAAAGACGACCAAGTAATCCAAACACTACAAAGAAAACTAAAAGTTGAGCAACATGAATCCCACCAAAAAACGGGGGTAAACTCAGGTGCTCCGAAAGGTTAAACAGTTCCTACTCAACATGCAAAACCAAGTGTGCTGCTCATACAAGCACGAATCTGTTGAGAAAGTCTCATTCGGTGGCAGTCGAGGAAAAGAGGACGGTAAAGACATTCAATAACCTTTAACCAAATCGTGATTGTATCTGCAAAACTTTCGAATAGATGAATTTAACTTCAACGCTTGGAACCCTTGGTTCAATAGCTTTGTGGTGAGCAATAGCCCTCTATCAAGAACACCGTTGTTGAAAACGCAAGCTCTGGAATATCGTATCAACTTGGAGATGTATAAATTCTATATGCAAGCGCTTGGAAAGTTTGCAATTTTAAAGCTATATAATCATTTCTTTTGTCGAAAAGTTTAGTTTTCAACCGATCATCATTGTCAATTTCTAGATATAAGTTAAGATATAAGGCATACTTAAATATTTGTTAAATGCATCTCTGGTATCCTTTATTTCAAGTCATGAAACCACCGTATGTCCGAGCATTTTTAGACAAAGCGCTTTCAAAATTTCAAGGCAGTTACTGTATTCTCAATATTATATTCATATATTGTAGTCCGCGATTGCTCTCACGTCTGACGATCTATAAAGACTGGGGGGGGGGGGGGGGACTGATTTGCATCAGTGCGCAGTCCAATCAACCATCATGATATTCCTTATTCATTTTTCTCCACGAATCTGTATATTTAATTCACGCCCTTACCCCCTGTACCACATACGAAATCGTTGTTACCATCACAATATCATTTTTAGCGACATACTTTCATTCTGAACAGGACGTTCTGATTTCGCATTTATTTTCTCACAGCTCTTTTAAATATGGGAGGTTATTAATGCAAAAAGGCTGATTGCATGTAGAGGTAAATCTCGTTAATATATGTAGGTCACAGTGACACTGGAATCCTATGAATAAATTTACTCCCACAATTATATGAGCAAGGAATGAAATAATTCAGTCATGTGAAAAATTGTTAAAGTGAAAGGATAAATCAAAACACAGGGAGTTGAAAGGAATACGGGTTTTGTTTGAGCTACATGGGGTTAGTTATATATCTGTGGAGTAAAATGAACAAAATGATCGAATGATGTATGATTTATCTACTTGAAATTGAAACTTTCCTCTTATTAACAAAAATATCAAGTTTAGTTTACAAATGTTTTACAAATTAGAGTCCGGTTTTCAAAATGAGACTTCAGAAATGTCTTTAAGGATGAATACCAAAGGGTTACAATAACGCGTCTCATGTAGTAGCTTTGACTAATGTTGTAACGTACTTGTTACAAGTGCCTGTAAATTGGGACATCGTAAACATTTTTTAAAAATACAACTAAACATATCGGTTTAGTACAAATATAATATTATGAACAACAGGTAAACATAATGCTTGTTAAGATTCATCAAGTATAATAAGGCACATAAACCACTGAAACAACAGACCTACTGCGTTTAATATAGCATATAAATCGTTAAAACAAAAAAGTCTTAACATTGATACTATCAATTTAATAGCACTGCTTTTAATAATTTTTTTTCAAAATTTTCCCGGCTTTATCAGAACTGCGCTTAAATGATTATAGATATGATTAACATTAAGTTTAAGGAAATTGGATTGCATTTGTACCCAAATCTTGTCTCCTTTCACCATTGCAATGTAGATAGTTTGAGATGCCATATCCCATTTAGGCCCAGTGTATAGCCACACTAAAACCTTTCCATTCTTTCTAAGAGTAGCAAGAGTGCATTGATGAATGCCGCCGATCATAGAAGTAGACACCGAGTAAACACCAGGCGTTTCAACAGTGAAAATACCCGTAGAGGGATCGTAACGGTTTCCAATATTAGTGAGGATACGGCTGTATTTTATTATATCTCCTTTTAACCATTTTACATGTTTTCCATTTGACGTGGCTGTAAATGCAGTAAATGAAGAAAGGCCATTATCACCTGAAAAAAAATTTAAATTCTTCAAAAATATACAACATACACATAAGCGAATGTACAGTTCTATAGAATACAAAGCTGTGTCTATGACGTCAGCTAACTATTGTTTTTTTATAGTTCACTGTAAAAAAATTCTAATTATAACTTGAACATTTACAGTAGGTGCATTGTTCGTAAAAATGCTACTTTTGTATTGACTTTAAGGTTAATCACCTCATTTATTCAAATGTTTCAATTGTATGTTTAAGTAATCCAAAATGTTTATAATTATAAACTCAGCCAATCTAAAATATCAGCACCATTATACACATTATTCGCGAATTTCATGCAATAACATTAACGGTACCAATTTTTCTGCACCAGATGCGCATTTCGACAATACATGTCTCTTCCGTATGCAGGCGCTTCTGGAATGTTGCTTCATAGAAATTGAAAGTTCACAATTGGTAAGCTGAAATCATTTTTTTGTAGTAAATCTCTGTTCTCAACCGACCCTCATTGTCAATTGGTAGATGTATGTCAAGATTTATGAAACTAAGGCACAGTTGACCTGAGATTCTATGGCTCTTTTAGTATTTAGGTGCCATATATCCTTGGCTTCAAATGTTTGGATTTAAGCTTTCCAGATATAGATAAATCTAGAAAAGCGCGTCGAAAACACGAAGTTAATAGTTTAATTTTCATTTACTAGCACTGATTGGAGGGCTTTAAGTCCCCGAAGGTATCACTAACTTAGTAGATTTATAACAAACTATAATTTTCTGTCGATGAATTTAGAAATTATTAAGAAACTACAATAATGTAATGTCCCACCTCCCTCAGGTAAGGTTGACCCTAGATGAATTTGGCTATTTTTGGGGTCTCTTTATGGTCGTATTTAGATCTTAATATCATTGGCTTTCACATGTATGGGTTTGAGCGTTCCTGATGAAAACGAATCAAGAAAAATGTTTCGGTAGCTTAAAATTAATATTGTTATTTTTATATACTGGCACTGCGTCGATACCACTGATGGCGGACTATAAGGCCGCGAATGTATCACTAACTCAGTAGTCATTGTTCGGTATTGCATTCAGAAATAATTAAAAAAAATAAGGTCTAATACATCATTGGCTTTCAAATTTTTGGGTTAAATCGTTTCTGATGAAGGTAAATTCAGAAAAGTGCTTTGGACGCACAAAATTTATAGTTTTATTTTCATTCAGGCAGAATTATCATCATTATTAAAAAAAACATACATTACTTTTTTGACATATTTGAAAGTTGAAAACGTGTTTAGCATGAAATCTTACCAATACTTTCACGACAGAATCGCTCCTTTCGAAAATCATCACATTCAATACACTGAAGTCCGTTAGAAGCGTCTACGTATACCTGGTTCAAGATCATCGGCATCAAAACAAACAAGATGTAGATCAAAAACAGTGTCATTATCCTTCCAATTAACAGCTGATTAGCGTTACTGCACTAAAAAAGGTTGCTTCAATAAAATATATATTACTTTTACATGACTGACAGCAAGAATTATTTCGCCGAGAGAGAAACATCGTACCAGTAATATGTTAACAAACTTACATCTTATTCAGTACATATGCAAACACCTTTTTTTCAAAAGCAAGTTAGTTTATTAAATCATATTGTAACTGTGTATGGCTGTACTAGACTTATATTTACGTCTATACTCTGCCAAAATAGTACTTTGTTTAACAATGAACTAAAATCACAACTTATGGTTTATGATTTATACTAAATCAGATCCAGTATACAATGTTGTAAACATTTTTAAACGAAAAATTAAAGCATTACTTTTATTATAATGATTGACTTTTTGGGTCACCAAAACAAGGTTATTTACGATCAAATTGTTTTTTTAAGGATGGCAACAATCTTGTGTTGAGAGCCCGAGGTCTTAACATTGAAAATGCAAATAAACAATATTTTATAAAATATGTTAATTTCTAAATCCTTATATCGGCTTCTATGATTCTTATTGCGGTCTGTTGAAAAAGATGTTTAACATTCATATTGCAGTGGGATATCTTCACAAAAGTGGCTAGCTTAACTGAATTACAATGTAGCATTGTCTACGATTTAATAAGAAGGTATTCCAAAAACATTTGCAAATTGAAAAAGAAAAGCGAAAAGGTGTAAAGTAATAATTATTTGTTTCAAAATACAGAATGAGTACTTATTTTAACCGTGTTTTTCTCTACTTTTACGTAGATTTGGATCATAGAAAACCATATATGTTTCCTTTTTGATTCACATTGTTCATCAATTTGGTGACATGTAACAGCTTATCCAAGATACCATGCTTTTAATTTAATACACAATGCTTCCGTTTCTTCTGGACAAGACTTATCAGTGACGCTCGAATCGAAACAGTTGCAAAGCAAATCAATTACGACGTTAACGTACATTGAAAACCGAAACGTTGTACCTAATCTAGTAAAGGCCATCTAAGCTCAGGAAGACAATACTATGTGTGTTTGTGTAGTCTAAGAAGTTCAACTACTGTATCACTAGCCTGTCAAAACTGAATTATCAGTACGAATCCCGAACGTGGAAGGTGCCACCAATCAATCAATCAATAAATTATGTGATTTATTAACAGTACGTCTACCGTAAATGAGCGTATCAATGATATTTTATTTCAGCACAGGAGCGCTGACACTTTGCTTGCGTGCACCGGCAGTGGTATTTACCAAGTACTTAAAAGGTCTCATCAAAGATCCCCAACTTATAATTTAATAAACAAGATGTTCGTTTATTTTACAAAAGACTCATCACTTGTTCTCAAATGAAAGCAGTTACAAGGACACATAGGTTGTGATTTTTTTTTTTGCCATTGCATTTTCAGTTTATCTTCCGCCTCTTTATTTGTCGTAGATATTTCACTGGAAGATCGGATATTCTTGTTCATGTTTTAATGTTGGTCTGTAATATATGCTCTGAAGTGCAGTATGATTGAGTATGTACTTTGCTCTATTTGAATACAAGCTTTTTTATGTGGAAGTTTCGTTAGTAAAATATGTTGTTCTTATCTATTGTACGGTTGTCGGTAATTTTTCTTTAAATAAATTGTGTTGTGTGTTCGTTTGTGAACAATTTTTTAGCCCACATATCGATATTTGATAGAAAATTCGATATCTCAAAGCACATGTTTTGCCCAGTCATGTCACATGTGACTTCATCGGTATCTAAAGTTGTTCGTATCGTTGGGTTTTGTTTTGTTTTTTGGGGTGTTCAAAACAGATGTTTTGTGTATTTGTTGAATGTATTTACAGATTTTTAGACTCCGGTAGATTTGATGTTAAAATAAAACTGAAATTTGTTCCTTAAGTTACCCTTGCAAATTGTAGAAATGACATCGAAACGCTAATTAGTTCTGGGTCCAACTTACAATAGGGATGCGTGGATGATTTGTGTCACATTTTTTCAAAATATAAAACCTTTTTATATCTAAGGAAGACCTGATATTATCATCAATGTAGTTATTCGAGCCGATATACCGTTTTATTTTGATTCTCGTGTATAACAATTTGCATACCGATGTAATATAAAAGACTTGAATCAACATTCCCTAGGATTTTGTTTTGCAGGATATGTCGCTCACAATGAAGCAAGAAAAGAAATAACAGTTGGTTTTGTTGTGTATGCATAGCTAATATATTCAAAGTTGCAACATGGGGAATACCAGCTCACCAGCTGAAGCATCGACCTAGTGGTAGCAATAACATTAATGGTACATATTTTATCTCACCCATTTTGACATTTAATGTCATTCAGTATTGCTAGATGCAAAAAGAAATGGAAAATGCAAGCTCTTCTTCAAACGTTGAAGAGCTGATCAACCGAAAAGAACCAACAGTAAAGCAAACACCATATATAATTCAATTAGGTATCCCATTAACTTTCTTACAATTTATTTTTTTTTCAAATCGGAAGATTATAATTATATCGTGTTTTCCAGTTCACAAAGATCTACTAGAATTCGGTAAATAAGGTTTAGATGGCAAGCGTGTGCTGCTAGTCATATAACGAATACATACTCATGTTTTGGTAACAACGAAAAAACAACATCCTTCATTTGGATCAATATGCCCATAAAATAATCTTATGTTATACTGTTATGTAACTACAAGGATTTATTTAGAACACATCATGTTAATGAAGACCTATATGATATTTTTTTATCGATTCTTAACATTTATTATTATAAATGTATTCCAATAAGCTGCATGTCAAGTAGTATTCACAATTAACCACCACTAACGACGTTCAAAGCGAACTACCTTAAGCTTACTATTAAATTTGCATTTTGATGTATAGAAAACGTTTAATAGAAATTAACTTTTAATAGGAATTTGAACACTAGTTCTGTATCTTTTATAAGCACACTATTTGTCAATCATAAGCCTGCAGACTTACAAGCCAAATGTGTATAGATCAAATAGGTTTGTTATTTATATTTCGAAGGCGGACCTTGTATAATGATTTAATCCATATCACCCCCGAGATACCACCATTGCAGTTTTTTCTACCGCAATCGCCTTTTTTATTTTGATCAATTCCATTGTAAGAGAACTTTTAAATTATAAATACAACTTACCTGTTCTAGAATATCTCCTGATTTAAGGAAAACTACTCTTGTAGGAATTTGTCACGGAAAATATGACAAGGAAGAAAAGTCGGTTTTATTGTCATGTGAACAGTTATTGCATTCAGATTGGGCAACATATTTGCAAGTGCCACGTTGATATCTTAAATCCTTTGTTTGCGAAAGTTGTAATAAATATAATGAAGGCGGTTGGTTATTCCTGGGCATATTAATCTTGCAATTGCTTAAAATACATTTGAAGATGACCATATTTGATTGACTGTGAATTTATGTGCTTGGTCGCCTGCTCGTTGATTGTGTTCAATATTTCATTCTTTTCTATAATCAATGATATCCTTCCTACCGCACCAATTGGTTGATGTTATAAGGGTTGGGTTTTTTTTTTTTAGTAATTTCAAACTGTATTAAGAAACTTACAATGTTGTGAATCACATCTGATAAGAATAGTCTATCTGACAATGTCTGCCATCTTTATCTTTTGTATCAAATGAATTTATTGCGATTTGACATGACTTCAGATTTGCATGACTTTTGGAGTATGCGTAACAGGACATTCTTAACTGTCGACACAATTTGCTTTATTGGGGTGATTTTTGTGATTGGTACTGTTTTCTATCAAATGTTTCTATATGCACATAGACGACTAAAACACATGTCCTTATAACAGGAATATTTAAATTTACATTTTTATAACTATACCTGTTGTAATGTTTTAATAATTTCAAATATAGACGAATAGTTATCCATCATTAAATGATACGTATATCACAAAAATCGAAAAAAGATTCTCTTCGAACGTTTTTTCAAATTCCTCCAATCTATTTTTTTGTCAATAAGAATCTAACTACGAGGCGAGGTCAGAAATGGATTTTAAAATGTATAAAAGATCTGTAGACTAGGTTGGTTCTAAGGCCTACGCCCAAGGCTATAAGGATTTGAACAATTTCGACATTTGGCGATCAACACAAATGATACCGTATAGTAAGCTATAAAAGTACCAGTAAAATTCCTTGAAAGGTCATTGAATTATTTAAATTTTGTCACGGAAATAACATTAAAAAAAAACATGTGCAGCTGGTATTTTTTCCGTGTGAACAGTCGATTTTTTTCATGTTGTGCAATATATCTGTGAATAATAACGTTGATAATTAATTTGTAGATAAAGAGTTATGCATGTAGTCATGGTAGTTGTTTATTTGAATTGTATGTAAATTCAAATAAAGAATAATGTATGTAGTGGTTTATTTGAATTATATATAAATTATAGTAATGAAAAGTGACATTTGACTTGTATAGATGTTGGTATTTTATTATTCATCAACACAGGTGCTTCAGATGACGACTCATTTGCGTAAGCAAATTTTCTAGTTTGTTTGTGCTGAAAGGATTCCTCATTTTATTTTTATCTTTGACTCTCTTTCAACTTTCATCATTTTCATTTTAGAATTTGAACATTGCAAATCGAAATTAAAGTCACCATCTTTTTTACTGGTATGTAATGTTTAGCTGGATTTGAGATAAGCATCAGCACCCTTTTATTTAAAATAAAACCAAATCGATCGTTTTGATTTTGATTTTCAGAAATGATCGGATTGGAAAGAACATCAATATATCTAACGGCAGCATGGAAAATGAGATGTCATATTATTACTTAAAATTGTGTCATAAATAAAGGTAACAGTAGTAAACCGCTGTTCAATAGTCATAGTTCGATTAAGCAAAAACAAATCCCGGTTACATACTAAAACCGAGGGAAACACATCAACTATAAGAGGAAAACAACGAAACAACAACAATAGCAAACGCCACCATACATAGAAACGGATTGTATGATAACAACTGCCATATTCCTGACTTGGTACAGGACATTTTAAGAAAAAATGGTGGGTCGAACCTGGTTTTATGGCTAACCAAACCTCCCGCAATAAACCTCTACATAAATAATTCTGTATCTACAAATTAATTATCAACGTTATTATTCACAGATATATTGCACGTCATGTGATGTAATATGAGCCTGAAAGTACTATCTAAAATGAATCATACAGGGATTTAAATGACATTAAAGCGATTAAAAGAATTGTAATTTAAATACCACACAATTAAAGGGGCATTAGCTGTCAAATTCATGTTTACCTGTTTGACTCAAATTCTCTTTGATTTATAACATATTAAAACGTATATCCAAATTACAAAAAGTATAAAGTAAACAATTACCAATGCATTGACTCGATATAAATATAAATAGGTAGCGACAACGTGCAATTAGATATTTCTATGTCTGTTTGATTTCATATTGCAGGTCGAAAAGTATGTTTATCATCGTTTTTACATGTATAAGAATGGTATTGTGTGGATTGAATCGGTCAATCAAATGTTTCACTTTTATTGTTAACATTCATTCTCTTTTAATAGTTTAATACATGCGTAACCCATATCCAGATAGGTGGTTAAATTGAAAGTCACATGAATACGGATTCAACGATGTTGCTTAGCTTATTTTGACAAAATTGAACAAAATTGGCTGCTAAAAACGAGTTATTATTTCACTATTTCACTTACATCTATGATTGAACCAAAAAAATATTCATACTTTATTTTATTTTTATATCTCGTAGCTAATGCCCTTTCAAGAGGAATCACAATTGAATTGAATAGAAACTCGTCTTTTGTCCCGTAAATATAAGTGTAAAAAATACAATTGGACTTATTGACAAAAATCTAGTACGGAAATCCGTCCTGTAAGACATGCTCCAGTTCATGTTTTTTTCTGAAAATAATCGATAAACGTGTTGTAAAATCACACACTATAAAATGTAACAACGGCATGGATTGCATGAACACCAGTAATCAACAATCATACATCAATTTACGTGTAAATAAAAGAAAATTAAATCCGTTAGCACTATGTATATACGCGTGCCTGTTGTTAACAACAATCCCAATTGCAAAGAAATTAAATAACATTACCTAAATTGTATTTGGCAAAGCATTTTGGAACTTTTTGTTCTCAAAGCTCGTACTTTATTTAGCCTTTTTAACTTCTTTGATTCCATTGTCACTGATGAGTCATTTGTAGACGAAACTCGCTTCTAGCGTACAAAATTTTAATCCTGGTAAAATTGAAAAGGGCGAAAGTTTTCAAAGTTGACAAGGTTCCTTTGTACACGAATAGATGACAAAAAAACATGTACAATTCACCTTTATTCGGACAAATTGTTGATGCGACATAGGAATTGGCATATTTGTATATTTATTTAAGGGGCATGTATAATCCCGTTAAAATGGCTGTCGTCATTATAAGGCAAGATGGCCGCTATGCAAATTAGCAACGTAATCAACATTTTACCATAGTTGCCTCGTGTACGTCACAATCACTATTGAACAGTGTGCCCTCCTTTAAATAAATAAGGGGTTTTCTACATTCGATTAGAATTTAAAATGTACAACTAAATCAAACAAAACTAAGATCAAGGTCCAATTTCCCTACATAACTGAAAAAAAATCATATACAACAAATAAATAAAACATGCATCTCGGGTGCCTTTATTGTTATGATATTGTAATTATTATATTTATTTATCTTGGCCTAATTTGTTTTGTGTGGCATTATATCATGTATAATATGTTTACATAATACTTATCGTTGTTTACAAAGTAATGTTCTAACTGTGCAGTTTAGAAATCACTGGAACAATCATAGATACTGATGAGATGATTAAAACTTTCTATTTGACTTACATAATAATTCTGGAATTATCATAATATACGATGTGCAATTTAAACTTCTACCATATTCTAAAAGTTTCCGTTCTATAATTTTCTAGGAGTTTCTCTTCTACGGTGTTTTAGAGATTTCCATGACAACTATATATATATATACAGACACTAAAGTTAGACTTTTAGATTATACATTAATAAACTGATATTCTCAGAGGTACTCTCAGTAGGATTGACACTTTTATTTACGTTAACTACATCATACTAGATTGTGACTTATTGGACATAATATTCTGTTTGGATTCCCGCAGCTGTGAAGAGAAGAATTCCGGATAAAGAAAAGAAAAAAGGATCGGACATATATTTTAACAGTTAAGTTGACATTTTAATTTGCATAACATTTCTTGTAAACTTGTGCATAATAAATCGTGTTAAATTTTATTATTGATTTGTGTCTTTTGTTGGCTACAATTTAAAGGTGATTTCTGACCGTAACATTATAAAAAAAAGGAACCACGTTTGTTACGGTAGATGCAAGGATATTTTTCAAGGATGTTAAAATCCTTGCATGTTCTTAGAAAAATCATAATTTAAATACAAATAATAAGGTTGCACGGATCCGAAAAAGGTAACCAGGACCTGCCTTTTCCTTTCTGCTTGTTCCTAGCAACCCGGTCATATGTATTTAATAGGGGATCCATATGTTCTCTTTTTTTTTCGCTTGTTCCCGATGACACTGTCCCATGTAAAACCTCGAGGAAACAGGAACCACCCGGCGCTATATTTTTTTTAAAAGACACTTTACGACTCCTTCTTCTTTTTTCGGAAAAGGGGGCCACTTGTTAACCTATGAAGAATGTGCGTCATATTGTAACTGGACATACCACAAACAATCAATCACTCAATCAATATGCACTTTGCATCTCTTAACAAAATCCAAACTGTCAATTAGTCAGTCAGTCAGTCAACCAATCGATCAATCTATCAATCACAATGTGAAATTTGTCAAACTTGTTTAATTTCAATTAACCAATCAATCATTCATTTAATAAACCAACCAACAAATGCACCTCGCAACAACCAAAACAAATAACCAGCAATTTGATATGTATTTAATATCACTTGGTTGTTTGGTTTAACCAACAATACCAACCATCAACCAACCAACAGATTCATGCATAGAAAAGGCGGAAAGACCTCAACTAACAATTAAGTCAATATACAAGAGAGTTGATAATAGCTAGTTACATGATAAGGGACTTCCCAATTTGAATTTTCCTTGGAGTTCGGTATTTTTGTTATTTTACTTTTTTCCACTAAAGGGACAAATAATGGATCATTGGTCTTGCTCGCTCCTC